CAAGTTGCTTCTTATGATCTTTGGCCAGACATTACTTTTGACCCGACCTTTGACACCCAATTCGACCTACCAAGTGCCATTCATAACGATGGAAAAGCCTGTAAAGTGGAATTGCTCGATGCCTCTCGACCACCAAGCCCGATGTCTCTTAGCTATTCAGCGAGCACTGTGTCCAAAGGATCAAGCAAGGACAACAAGGCGTCAGAACTGCCAGCGTTCAAGTTTCAGTTCAACATGCATTGAGCTTCAGCAGCTTTCTGGCTTGGTCATTTGCGACTTCCCCGTCATCTCACGTTTTGCGCACACTATATTCAAACGGTGGACTTGCGCACCCATCATTGTATAACATATGTATATTATTAGAGGCTAAGGGTATGTACTTTGCGATCTATTCCCTATATTTGCGGCTATGCAACCTACGAGGATGAGGTGGAAGGAAGATGATCAGCCACAGTGCTGTATGATTGACGGCCGACTACGAATGGAATTGGGGGATCTGTACTTGTGTGTTTTTATTTGTCACTAGGTAGACCAGGACCGCTTTTGACAAACATGACCGGGCAAGGCGGCGGTTTCTTCGGGCGTCTAAACACCGACAATACGCGAGTCTTATATATCTGATAGACCTTCATCCATATCTCCCGTGAAAAGGTATTCGTGAACGATTGGCTTGTTGCAGCCCATCATCCGTATTTTGGAATTCAGTATATACACCGCCACGCCTGCTGCATATACAAATAGCCAGAGCGTAGCAGACCTCATTTCTGGGATTTCATTGTGAGCGTATGAAGTCATGATCCTTGCGCTATTTATCCAATGAAGTTTTTGTCGTTCCCCATAGCCACTCCCAAAGCGAAGCCAGGGTTGATTTTGACGAGGACTGCATGACCACATCGTCATGATATGGTATCCGGTATTTGAGTTCCCTTGGCATAGGAACAAAATTCAATTTAGGACTTTGCGCAAATAATGGAGCAACCTGATTATCAAGTATCCAGCGAGTTCCTACCATCGGAACAATGTACCGGAGCTGGAACCTCGACCATGCCGTCATTCCAGCTAACATGCGGAGATGATCATAAGTGCTGTTAAGGTAGGCTGTGGTAGGTGGCTCTCTTCGATTCTGGTAGTCTTTGAGTAGTCGCTTGATGGATTGCGTGTCCGGGTGTGGATTGTCTTTCAAAAGTGCCTGCAAGCCGTTGACCAGGTGAACTCCCGACTCCATTGCCATATCAGCACCGAAAGCTAAGTTTGGCGTCTGAAACACTTTCAGCATATTCTCCTAGACGAATGGTAGGCGAAATTAAAGCACTTACAGCTTTATGGGCAGCATCGCCAAGGAGCACAACCCGATCCCAATACCATTCCGGCACTAGACCTTCCTCAAAATCAGTAAGGTATTCCCTCCACCTGCCCTTCCTTACCTCTCCGAATGTCACCCCGTTTCCGATAGGATAATCATTGAATTGCTCAGCAAATTTGTCTCGCTCGGCATCCGAATAGTGCTTGAATTCGTATACTGGCTTATCACGGGCTTTGTACAGTATCCAGAAGACTCTTCCTGGTTGCGTGAAGAGGTGGATCCAGAAACCAGAGTTGGAAATCTCCATTAGGCGTCCGGCAGGAACTTTGTCAGGGAGTGGTCCAATGCCGTAAATGCCTATAAATGATGATGAGAAGCCGGTGTTAGGAAAGGCACCATTTGCGGCTTTATGCAGAAGATGTCGAACGGTGCTGTGTACTCCATCGGCCCCGACAACGATGGACCCGTGGTCTTCGGAGCCGTCCATGAACGTAACCTTTACTCCATCGGACAAGATTTCAAGGGTTTGAACTGATTTTCCCGGGTGAATGCGTCGTTCCCGGTCTGGTAGTTTCTCATAGAAGAGACGCAAGTACTCCCACCTTTCGAACAGCCACAAATCGTATCCGTGGCTTTGAAGAACAATAACGTCAGCAAGCGATTGACCCAGAACTAAAAGAAACTGGATCTCACTTCTCTCGGAGCCGTTCGTTTGATGGATATGCGACCAAGACCTCCCCATCTGGCCGCATCGTCTTATTCTCCGTCAACGGTGGCGCCAGAGGCCTGGCTGCCTCAAGGAGGCCTAATTGATCAAGTATTCGCATTCCTGGCGGTTGAATGCCAAGCGCAGTTCCGCTGGTATGGACAATCTCTTTCCTTTTCTCATAAACAACATAGTCAATGCCGGCAAGGTGGAGCATATGTGCCAGTGCGAGCCCTGCTGGGCCGGCACCGATGACGACGACCTTGAAAGGCGGGCTCATGTGGAAGATTTGGCGGAGGTGTCCCAAAATCTGGCTCTAAATCACGGCCTCAGAGTTTGATGACTCTTTTTATTCAAATATCGACGGCTATTTTTGGGGAATGACCGTGTCACATTTGTTGTTACGCTGTGCCGCGAGGATTGGATCCAATGCTGATCACTAACGGGGCTTCTGACGCTAACCAAGCAGTGCCGATTCCTCTGCGCTCAATTGTTACCTAGAATCCCGCTAAAAAGTTATGAGTGGGTAGTTTACTGGAAATTGTAAGCATTAAGAATCCTGCGTGCTGAATTGAGGACGAGATCGTCGCGCGTTTGATCATGGAGCCTATGTTCGACAATCAAGGAGAATTGCATACTGACCGTGGAGCGTTGACGTCGCGAGATTCGAGGAAATCTCATGGCTCATAGCAACTTCGGAATAATTTGTTCAAAGAGCAAATCGAATTAAATCTCGCCGACGGGCTATTGGCTCAGGTTTGAGGGGATAGATTAAACAAGCCAGATCAACAAGAACATCGCAGCTCGCATTCAGCCACTTGCTCACAACAATTGGGTTGCTTCTTTCAACTTGAAGCGGGGACTACACAGATGAGCCTTTGACAGCACCTTGCCATATGTTTTGGACGAAGTGCAATCCCTCATCTGTATCTAACCAAGCGACCTTCCTCAAGATGTGTAGCCACGGCCAGCTCACCAGAGTCCGCCCGGATGATCTCCATGTTCTAATCCAGGCATCGAGCCAGTCTTCCACAGGGGTAGTAGTCTCTCCGGAGGATAGCGACCAGTTCGCCTGTCCAAGCGTTGACACAATGAGAGCATAAAATCCAACTATCGTTTTCCACTTCCATATATCATCGGATGCTCTCTTTCCTATAGTTCTTAAGTTCGCTGATGGGCTGGCACTGCTTCCAATGCCCGAATCTGAACCGCCTGGGCTACTCGATGCCCTATTTCGGGATATGGTCACGTAAAGCCACCGTAACAATTCTGAATCACACCGCACGCAGCCTTCAGCTCCAGTCATTGAAGCATAGAGGGCGTCACGCTGAAACTCGATTATCATGTGTGCCACGAGGTAGGCAACATCTGCCCAGAAACGTCTTGGGGATTGACCAGATGGTGTAAGTGACCTAACTTCCGGTGCAGGACCATCCTCTGAGTCTACCAATAGTGAAGCAAATATAGTTCCTACAACTCTATATGACATTGTCAGTGAAATGCATGACGAATAGGTAGGGAAACAGTCTAGTAGCAAGTATGGAGGTCACTTACACAACAGTCAACCGTCGAATCAGTCCGATATGAGGGCGTGGCCCTTGCAATCGCTCATTGCGGTCAAGAATTGATAACAAGCCATGGAGATGTGCTTCAGCTTGCTTGTGATGTCCTGTTTCCAGCTACGTCACAGAAAAGAATCAGTTGCAAGCCGGTGATATATCAAAGGTGTGTGAAGACCACTCACGTCTGCAAAGATTAACCCAGTAACTTCGCTTGCAACCAGATTTGACAGGTCGATAGGAGCTTCGACGTGTTCCGTTATGCCGCGAATGATCTCCAGGTTGTGATGTAGATACGTTCCCTGGAAGGTATCACGTCCTCCCCTGATCAGAGATTGATGGCCAATGGCCATTATGATGGTTGTTCTGGCCCAGACAATATTGACATCGTCCAATCCCATGTCGGAAGGGTAGGGATGCTTCGGAAAGGCAGTCCGAACGAGCATTCGGTGGAGGGTAACTAATGGGCATATTTCACATTAGATTGCTAATCTCTACGGAAGGGGCGTAAAAAAATAAATTTAAAAATAAAAGCAAATAAGGTTCTCATTTGTTAATGACATGTCACTTGTGACTTACAGTGATACCACAGCTCACGGTCTTGGTGGCCGAGCTGAATTGGCAGAACGTCAAAAGGATCGTGGGCCGTCCCGGGTATTAGACCAGGTATATGCATGTTGATAGGAGCCCTGATATCCCAGCCGGTCATGAAGGACGTCTCCCGATACGATAATGGGGCCGACCTAGTATACACACGCTTATGACGCAGCACCTTGCAGTTCGAACTATGCAATATAACTTGTTAGATGGCTTTTCTGATGAGAATCAAAACTGAGATTCTAGCGTGCTTGACTTAGGAGGCGGTTATGAGTTCATTCCAATATCTGACTTACCAAATTGGCCGTTGCGAATCACATCGCACATACCGTGCTTTGCATGCCGAGCAAAAAGGGGAGACCAGCTGCCTCCGCCCTTCCGCGAGTCCCCCTCGCTTAGAGCTCTGTACGACTTGACATGATCTCGACTGCATCCTATCCATCATTATTGCGTTGACCGCCTTCAGCTACCATGTGGAGCTTGAGTGGAAATTTGAGACAGTCAGGCAGTCTTCCCCGGTGACTGTGGAGATTGTGCTAGTGGAGATGGCGTTTCATTCGGATACTCATTACAGAAAGAATTGTTTGAGCAGACTTCACTTCGGCCGAGTCGTGGGGTGGTTGCTCTAATTCGGAATCAGGGGAGGCTCGGCGGAGGGCTGGTGTGCGGCGCGGTGGTGGCTTGCGGAGAACGGAGGAGGAAAAGAGCGCGCAGCTCCTTTCGACCTCCGCCCTTCGGCTGAACATCCCTCCATCACCTGGCTCAATATTAGTTTACGGAACATGTTGGCTCGTGTTTCGTGTGTCGATTTCACAAGTCTATAGATGTCTAATCGTTACAAGCCTCGTAGAAACTCATCCAACGTTATTGGCTTCTTCACAGCGTTATTCAATCCTTCATGAAACGTCACCCAAACCTTCGCCGCTGGTTTCTCTGCTGTTCTTGGCCGCTTTTCGCTGCTATTAACATCTAAATCTTGCAGCGGGCGAGGCTTCTCCTGAATGATGCGGCCGAAGAAGTCCTTCTTCACGCTGGTGCTGGAGAGGAGCTTCTTCTCAGCTTCCCATTTCCTGACGTTTTCCTTCTCGTCTACAACGAACTCATCATAGCCAGCACCGAATGGATTGCCAGCCTTGAAGCGAGCTTGACGGGCCGCGGTTTCGCGTAGAGCTATGGTTTTGTGGAGTTCTTGATCGAGGACTTGTCGTACAGCGTAGCGGGTAGGGGCTTGTGTGGCTAATACGTGTGCTCCTGCCGTCTCAAATGCTGAGAGTGCATCTAAGTCACTTTGATAGATGTCAGTATTGAACCCAGTAATGAAATAGCATAGAAACTTACGGATCCATTCTGTACACCCATTGAGTTCTGTTCGCCATGGACGGGTTCGCTTCCTCGATCTTTCCCTTGACTAGAGATATGCCGACCTCAGCTAGTACCTCCGCGGCTCGGTGGACCATGATCTTCTCGCCTTCTCGGCGGACACTAGCAACAGAAATACCCTTGTCGCCGCTGCCACCGACAACGACGGGTTTGACGTCTGGCGAAACAAGTCGTACTAGGTACGGCAGAAAGTCCGTGGCAACATGCTCTGGACTTCGGAACGACCTAGCCAGAGATGGAGGCAGGTTCGACTGAATGCTTTGCAGCACAGACCGATTCTGTTTCTCCATCTCATATGCGGAGAAGTCTGCTCGAGGCCCTGTGAAAGGAAGCGGAGTAGAGTCTGCATTGGCATCCCCCTCGGCAGTACGCCATTGTTTTTCGTAGCCTGCATTTGCATAGCGTCGAATGGGTGCAGCGAAGAGGTGATGACATGCGAGAGCTGGCTGGCTTAGATAGGGAGCAAGTTCCCACTCCTGGCTTGAGTAGAGACGAGAAGAACAGGCATCGTGGAAGTGCATCCACTCATACGCCGTATCAGGCTTCGTCAAATATGAGTCGTCGTTGAACTCTCGGTTAGGGTACTCAGAAAAGACCTCAGTCATGATACGATCCACATCCCCGCTAGTCTCTATCATCTCTCGTAACCGGCCCATGGCATACTTTTTGTGGTGCTCAGCGAAGCCGAGCTGGGTTTGGGGCTGCTCGTGATGTGTGTTCTTTGACTCGACATTAACATCGGCTTGTTTGGGAAAGCCGGCTCCATCTTGGAAGATGCGAGTGACAATATCCTTGACGCTGCCACGTCCCAACCCTCTTGAGCCGCCGCCGCCATGAGCAAGGTCGTGCATGACGTTCTTCTCGATCCACTGCCGTGTGAGGAAAAGAGAGCCATCGGTTACTGTTGCTTTCAGCCGAGTGGCGACCCATTCCCCAACGACCATCACTCCACGGAGATCGCCTTCGACAGCGCTCTCAGCCCCCTTCTTTGCATCGATGCCACTGCTCATGCCCCAGGCTGCTTCACACAGCTTGCGAGCAGCATCTTTCTCACAGGGGATGCCTTCCTTCTCGAAGACCGTCTTAAGGCGAGTGACGACAGCATCTATTGACGGCTTACCGACGTGGATGATCTCTGCCAGGCCAGAGTGTCGTAGCGGCTTCAATGACGGATGGTAGACATCGTTACAGATCAATATCAGGGGCCTCATCTGACGAAAGTCATCGCCTTTCTTCTTTCGCCGCTGGATGGCGGATGAACCTCCACTGGAAGTTGAGGCATTCTTCTGGTCGAGCATGATTAGGTCAATCAAAGCTTTGATGAACCCGCCCTCGCCAGAGCCACCTGAGCCTGTGACAACGCCATCGACTTCGTCCACCACGACACACACGGGACGAGCAATCTTCTGCTTCTTGCCTGGTGCTGGCTTGACCTGCTCGACAGTCTTCACACTCTCAGTTCCCAAGCTGGTCCTGATGCGACCTTTCACGACATCTCGGCTTCGATCATCGCTCGCATTGATCTCCAATACCTCGTATCCCGCCTGACGCGCGCAGACATGAGCCAGGGTGGTCTTGCCCAGACCTGGCGGACCAGTAAGCATGAGAATCTTGCGGTGTGGCTTCTCTTCTTCTTGCTGAGTACTAGCCCCTGGTCGCCGTGAGGTGTGGGGCCTTTCCTTCACCGCGTGCGGAAAGACAAGGGTATCCCATCGCTTAAGCCAACGAAGAACTTGGCGATTCGTAAGGTCGTCACCAACAAGATCCGTAAAGTTTCGAGCACGATACTTCTCAGTCCATAGTAGCGACCGTTTTGACCGCTTACCACCAGCATGGGATTCCTCTAGTGACTGAATGGGCTTGTTTGACGCGCCTTGAGCAGTCGCCTTCGCCTCCGCCTTTGCGGATGCCTCCTTTGCAGCGTTGTCCATCAGTCTGTGTATATCGATGCCATAGTAAGCGCGTTTGGCTCTGCCTTCTTTGGTTCTTGACCGAGCAGCCACCATGCTTTCGTACGAAACGGCCGTGGTGGCCTTCCGCTGTCGAATTGGGAGGGACTTGCCGCTGCAAGTAGAGAGCCTGTAACTCGACACCCTTGGAGCACTTGGTAGCCTCGATGGCACGAAACTGTCAGCTTGCGAAGTTCCGAATAGTAGCTCATAGCGGGTTTCTTCCGTGGTGAGAAGACTCTCTGCAGGTTGGGCATCGGGGATTTCCATGGAATCATCGTTCCTCATCGCCTGCATGCCTTCTCTCGACCCGGTTTGCCGTATCTCCTGAAGTGCGTCTTCTCGTGGATCCTTTAGCATGAGCTTCTTAGAGACTGGCTCATCATCCTCGTTCTCCTTGTCGGAATCATCGTCATCGTCTAGGAACCCCGCCTTCATGGGACGTCTGGCGGGCTTCGCAACATCTTGTGGACTAGATCGCTTCTTTGCTGTCACCGGGGAGGAGCTGGGAGGGAAGACGATAGGAGATGACGTTGACAGCATGATGAAAACGCCAGACGGGAAAGAGATCGAGTAACCGTATAATTCGCAGTAACGCGCGAATTGCTCGCGATTCCAAGTGTGCTGGTGTTCAATGGCCTTTAAGAGCGTAAGACTTAAAGTGGCGGCTCTCGACTTTTGCAGTGGACACAAAAGCGCGTCTGAGACGCGTCCCTCGCTCCTAGTAAACTGTACTTTGGCGGGGAGCTTCTGGTGTTAGTGCAGACCACCACGAAGAGGCCAGAACTGGCTAGCCCAAAGTAAAGCAAGGGCCGGCTGCCAACGGCCGAGGCTCCACAGGACGCCCCAAGACAGTTAAGCTGTCCAGGGTCCAGGGGCTTCTTTGGGGTAACGTTAATTTTAAGCAAAATCGTGAGACTCCCCTTTCCATGGGGTCCAGCCGGCTCGTTTGCGACGGCGCATCGTGAACCTCGCTCCTTCACAGCTACAGCGATATGCTCGCGATTGTCTGACAAGGGGACAATTGGCCGGCAGGCCAAATTGCCCAGCCATTCGTTTGCTTGTACATACACTATATCATATTCATTGATCAACTCTCGTCACTCGTTTCCATGATGCGCTGTCGCATTCTGTTCTCTTGGCTCGTAAGCGCCGCCATCGTAGCTGTCGCGGTCGCCGATGGGACTGTGTGGGTGACACCGCACGACAGCTACTCCTCCTCTGTCGGCGTGCTGGGCTGCAAGATCAACACAAACCGTGTTGCCTATGTACGAAGATCCATTCCTATGACATGCAGATGTGTTGCTGACATGATGATTCCCGTAGTGGCCCAGCTCTGTTGATTGCAATAATATCTGTGTTTCTGTCTCTTATGGAGGCCGTACGGTGAAACTCCTGCGTATCGATCAGTCCGGCGGTGCGCACGACGTTAGTTACGATGCTTGGAATGTATGAATCTGTGCCACACACGAGTGTTTTGCAAGTACACAGTATGCTAACATTATACCAAAGTACCTCTCTACCGGTCATTCTGCGACGGACGAACCGACTGCTGGAGGTGCTATCGCCATGGACTACAAGGATGTGGATGCGTCTGAATGCGAAGATCTGATCAACACCAAGGGCAACAAGCTCCCGTTGAGCGCGGCCAATTCGATGAACTATCTTGCCAGCTGCCTCGAGCAGGAGGACAGCTGGGTTGCTAAACATTATGTGCTGTATAATATCATGGACGCGATATGTACGTGGGGATATGATGAGCAGTGTACGCTTGACTGGCCGGATGCAAACCAGGCTACATGTCCGCATGGCTTGGGGACACCAGTCGCCCTTACTGATGCGCCCGTTTACAACATTCAATATCCAACTGGAAAGAAGGTGCTAGCTGGGTCAAGTCAGACTACGGAGACCACTGGAAGCGAGAACGCGGCGTCCCTAAATCACGGAGGCATTTTGATGGCAGCGTCAGTAGCTTTATTAATCACCCTGTTAGTCGGCTGTTTATAGAACCAACAAAGCTATAATTGTTGTCGCCTTCAAAGCCATATTGTATCAGTCTGGTGTTGAGCCTTTGTAGCGCTCTCCTGCCAGTCCTCAGCTCCATTCTGATGATATCTCGTTCCACATCGATTTCAGCAGGGAACAATTACACTGACAAAGAGCTCTAGCCCTGTACAACGAGCCCTTTTGTTCATTGTGATTCACTGTGAGTATGTCGTTCTAGTGAATGAGATGTTTGACGACGCTAGGTGCGTCTGATGTGCGGTGTCCGGCAGAATCTTGTACACATGTCACTGTGGAGACGCGATCGTTTACTCACCAGCATATAATTATTATTTACTTCAACGAAAATGACTCATTTCTACCATGATGACTTACGTCTGCCTGTTCCCGGCATTAATATAACCGCCCGCCGCACATTGCGTCGTTTTGCCTCTTGTTTGCTTCACGTCGGTCACTCCCAACGCCACGACCCATCTTCCTACTTCCAAGATCATGTCTCTGATACTCCAAACACCTCCCATTCAGCAGCAAACAAAACATGTCAACAAGCACTTTTCTCTCAAGCATTTCGAGCTACAGGTGGCCAGTCGTGTTTGGTCCCTCAGGTTTGAGACGTCCTGGCGACGGTCTCGTGCCACCTAGCTATAATGGCGGATCCCCGTTAAACAAAAATACCACATCATCTAGGGAGGCCACAAGAAGCCTAATTACTAGTACTGTCAAAGGGAATCCCGAAGCTTGTGGGCAAAAACCAAGGCAATAATAAAATTGAGGCTGCAATGCGGTTTCACTTGGAGATTACTGGAGCAGAGATCGCACATACGAAAGGAAGGGTCTTAAATATCAGGTCATTTGAGCCTAGCAACCTTGAGACCTTTCCAGGAGCAAAAGAAGATGGCCATCCGTTTTGTGAACCTCAATTGGCCCCCAAAGCCGAAAAACAACCGCAAAATGCCGTCAATACTAGCCGCCAATGCGTGGACCGATCACTTCTCGAATTCGTCGTGAAGACCCGCAGGTTCGTGGTACTCAAACTCCTTGTCCTCGGCTCCAAGAGAAAGCGCCAACTCCTTCCAGAAATGGAGCTCCTGATCCTTCTTGTTGCGCGCCTTCCGCGCAGATCGGTTGTTGCGCAGCTGGTGGCGGCGGTCGATGTAGGCCTGCACGAGGCTCCAGACCTTCTGCGCCTCGGGATCGCCGTCCTTCGCTACCTCGCCGGTGGCCTTTACAATCTCCTTTAGCTCTTCGTCCTTCATGAACTTGAGCATGTTCTCGGTCACCAGGCGCCACTGGGAGCCGCGCGGCGCAACGAAGTCGCCCGGCGGCTGGCAGGGACCGACTTGGCTACGAGTGAGCCCGCCGCCGCGGCTCTTGGGGGTCTGCTTGGGAGGCTTGGTCTTCTTGGTGATCTTACCTTGCTTGGTAGAGTTTCCCTTAGCAGGAATAGGCCCTACGATTCCATCAACTCCCGCTGGAGTCTGCGAGGGGACGACGTTGGAGAGTATCGCGGGAGTCAAAACGCCCGCGTCAATAGCTGGGAGCTGCTGCGACGGCGAATTATTCGTGATACGGACTTCATGCGGAGAATACACCACAGCTGAGGGCGCGTATGCGCTTCTCGGCTGAACGAAATGTTTGTCCTCGGGAGGTGCAGCGCGAGGGTTCAGAACATTAGCCGAGGCTGTCGGGTTGACAATGCCAAGAGAAGGCACGCTGTACGAGATCGTCGAGTTGCAGGTTGGGACGGGAGTGTTCGCATGTGATTGATACGCAACGGTATGATCACCGTTGGGAAATGGGCTGGCACACGGCACGCTCGTCGACGAGAGCTGAACCTGCGAGGGTGCAATACCATGGTCCAAGGAGAGACCCACACTAGCCTCCAAGGATCCATTAACGGTAGAGATTGCTTGAAGACCATGGGCCACTTGATCCTGAACGCCTGCGGCCTGGAGATGAACGGAATCGTGGGTAGCAAGAGGAATAGCTGACGAAGCTGTCATCTGAGAAGCCACCTAGGCATCAAACGACTCGTCGTCCATATTCATAGCCATCTCAACTTCAGTGAAGTCGAACTCGTCCTCAACCATAGTGAGATCAACTGCTGCAGTGGAATCGACTTGCATTAGATTGCCAGATGGCATCCCGGTATTCGCGATCGTCATGGGAGTCTCCATCGAGGAAGTCTCACGAGAGGAGCCAACTGAAAAGCGTTGATCGAGCATCATGTCGATAGCCGGTTGCTTGTTCATATGCTGTTCAGGAAACTGCACCGGATACTGCTTCTCGGCGTTCAAGGGAGCGAAGTACTCCTGATGGGCCTTCTGTACATCAAGAACCTCTTGGTTGAAGTCATACGACTCGATGTTGGGAGAGTCGGCATTATACCATCCGACATGCTCCTGGTCAAGTTCCATGATGACAACGATGGAAATGTTTGCTCAAGTAAAGAGTTGATTCAAATGATAGGAATCGTGGACTGAGAAGCTCGAGTGAGGTGAAATGGCAAGTATGTTGAAAGATGACAGCACTTTGGCGTTCAGCGTATTTATAGACGGTCGAGGAGCCAGGGAAAGCTAGTGAAGGGAAGCGTAGAACTGACTCCTGAACACGTGTTCTCGAACTATTGTGCTTGTTTGCCCTCTTCTGAGAATATCAGATGAAATTTCCAGAGTTCAAGAGTCATGTTATCCGGTGACCAGTCCTTACGATTATACTTGTAAGCGTAAGCGAAAATAGCGGGAAAGTCACTCTCTTGTTGCTGTTGATATACGATCGGATGAGTGATAACGCTTAGAGTCTCCCCGTCTACCGAAAACTTTCGCCGTACTTACACGTCTCATGTTATTGTTAAGGCACTACTCTTAGTACTCGATGATACACCGAGCTCGAGTCTCCTCGTGAACATATGACACTAGTCATATTATTATGACTAGGGAAGGACAGCAATGCTCAGCTGGCTTCAGGCAATATTCGATGATCGCTACCGGAAGTCATCAACAGTGAGTGAGTCGAGTTATAAGAAAGACCAAACGGGTGCAAAGGAGGTACTACTGACCAAAGTATAATTTATCTGGTGATAGTACGCAACGGATACACTGCCTGAACTGGGTTATTATATTCATGTATACTATCTTATCATGTATTATTCATAGCCCGGAAAAAGCTTGGTATCAAAGAGGTCTCGACATTACACTGATTTCTTGGGTAAAGGATAGCCGCCAAGGTCAGCAAACAGCTTTCCTGCCTTGGTCATCACCAAATTCACATCGTCTCCAACCCACTGCGATATAAAGTCTGCTCGAGGACCCTCGAGCTCCCTCAGTAGACTTCCACATGCCTAGATGTAGTGCATTTGTTAGCAATGGTTTTCACAACTAGCCATGAAGATGGATGATCTTTGGACCATACCAAGATGCACGTGCCGCTCCTATTATCATCTAGAGAGGCTTGCATGATTACGGCAGCTACTCCCTCAGGGGTATTTGCTTCCAGCCCCGCATCCTTCCAGTTATCGGCATACGAAGATGTGATATGTGTGGGCGTAAAAAAGGGGGCCACAGCATTGATACGTATGCCATATTTGTTTGCTGTGATCTGAGAGGACCGCATCAATCCAATAACGCCGTGCTTGGATGTGACATATGCTGCGACTCCCGTGCCGCCAAAATATCCCGACGTCGATGCCATCAACACTACACTCCCGCCTGAGTATTGCATATGATGCATAGCTAGCCTCAGTGCTGTTAAATATATGTAAGTAAAACTTATCCTTTTTTTTACCCAAATTTAATTAAAGGGGGTTTTCGGGGGCCTTACTATTGAGCGTCCCCTTTATGTTCACATCAATAACTTTAAAAGCCTCTCGACTTTCAAGGAGGTCCCCCTCACTATCAAGCGCATCAAGGTTTAGCACTGGGGATGTCTCCATAATAGCGGCGTTTGCGACAACAATATCAATCCGCCCAAACTGTTCCTTGGCGGTTCTGAACAAGTCTTTCATTTGTACCCAGTTGAGGATGTCGACAGGCACGAACAGGGCCTTTTCTGGATGAGCGAGCGACTTTATCAGAGCCTCAGCAGATGCACGAGAACCAGGCAGATCTGCTATAACAACGTTTGCGCCATGATCATTATAACGAATTATTGTTGCTGCTCCAATACCATTTGCTCCTCCGGTGACGATGACTGTCTTTCCAGCTGCTTCTTGTGGAAGTCTTGGGTCAAGAACGACTTGAGTCGGCATCCTTATCTTAGTATTGTCTTCTTGCGAAAGACAATATTAGCATCAAACAGGTCTAAAAACAGCAGCACTACACGGCGTGGTTCAAATTTTGATGATAGTAATTAGCCTTCCTGGGTCCCTTGATCTCGGATACAAGCCGGCAACATTGACGTGAGCAGATACTTCTCTTAGGCAGACCAGTGACCGCATTGGCGCCTCAATGCGGTTTAATGAGTATGATTCCAAGTTACTTAGAGACCACTTTACAACAGCAGTAATTCCAACCCATGTAATCGACGGGGGATCGATGTCTTGTGAGCGAGACGGAGATCACCTAGCTTCCCCGTAATGCGGGGAGCACTAGTACTGCATATGATGGAATTGCATCCACAGAATATGGGAGGTGCGGGGAAACGACGCACGCAGGTAAATCATGTCTTCGGTCACGATGGAACAAAGAAGTTGAGTAGCTTCATATTAACTGACCATGGTCGACACTCGGAAGAGTAATCTCAGGGGCTGAGAGCTACATGATGCACTTAAGATGAGCTCTGACCAGCAGTGCTCAATGGAAAATTAAGATTATAAGCCATCTACACCAGGATAACTCCCTCCTCCACTACAAATTAACTATGATAGACAACATTTACGTAGTGAAATCGGTCTAGATTTCACTTTTAATGAGTTAGAATAGCAGGTTTTATGATCAGATGTGCTATGGTATTTAATCGTATCGATGTCGTTTGACTTCGCCTAGTAATTCAAGGCATCCAACGTAACTCATTCGTCCCAGCCATTTTCGCATTTAATCTACGGTAGTGGAACGACAGCCCAAAAGTAACAATGGCACTCATCCCAACAAGAGCAGCATTGACACCATGGCCCAACCTGTAGACTGGGGCGTCCTTAGCACGGTATATCCATACGCCAATTATCTGTCCAGGGCCAGATAGGGCGACGTTGAGGGCAGTTGCTAATGCTCCAGCGGTCGTTGTCCGGCTGTTGTCGCCCACCCATGCGCACAAAGGTGGTAAACCGCCAAACACGCCGCTTGTTGCTATGCACAGGAGAGCGTAGCGGGCTTTGAACGCCTCACCTGGTAGTGCCGCTATTGAAGAAAACTGGCATTAGCATGGTTGCTAATCAGTAGCTTCGACGAAACTTACCAGATATGATAAAGGCGAGAGATGCCACGACGAAAGACGTGCCAGCTACAAGACCGCGGGTCTTGTACTTGTCTGCCATCCATGCAGCGACCAGCGTCACAACATAAGCGATGGCGTACGGGGGAACCGTGTATAGTTGAGCATCCAGGTTCTTATAGCCCAGGCCAGCCACGATAGTAGGTGAGAACAGAGATAGAGAGGCAACACCGCTACCAATTCCGAAATAGGCGAGATAGTGAAAGTAGAATCGTGCTGTGGTAAGCGTCACCTTGGCGTCTTTCCAGCTAATTTTCTCCTCGCTATTGTAGTCGTGATCGTCAGTCCACGTTTCCAAAGGAACTGTACATATATGAACATCGGTTCGGGCACTGACCTTGCAAGACTATGAATGCCCATTCTTCGGACTTGTAACTGCTTCTCCTCTTCGGTCAACCAGCCCACATGTTCGGGGTAGCTGGGTAGAAAGAAAAAGATCAAAACTCCCGCAACAACTGTAAAAACTTATTGTCAATACGAAGACGGGACTTGTTATGGCTGAGATGGCAACTTACTGGATGGTAAGCCCTCTAGGATGAAAAGCCATCTCCAAGCCTCTAGACCACCAGCTCCGTTCATGTGACCGACGCCATAAGCGATACATCTATCATGACAATTTGTTAACAATAGCTAATAGCATAGCCGAAACTGACTGGGTATAGTCATACCCTCCAAATGCTCCTGAAAGAGTGGCACTGCACAGAAATGCGGCAATGCGAGAAGCCCGTTCTTCCGGGCGGTACCAGAAACTGAAGTAATAGATCATACCGGGGAAGACACCAGCTTCAGCGGCACCCAGGAAGAATCGAAGCGCGGTAACGCCGGCAGCATTAGTCGTACCGCCGATTCCTGCACAGAAAGTTCCGAAGGCAACAACGAGGAAAGCTAGCCATCTAGTGGTTTAATCGAGAGTCAGTCTAACGGCTTGCATATGACATGCAACAAGAGCTAGACTTACCTTCGTGGTGAAAACACTTTCAATGCGAGATTACTTGGGGCCTCGAAGACTGAGTAAGCGACGAGGAAGAGCATAAGAGCCACAGTGAACTGATAGCTTGTGATGTTGTTTGTTTGAAGAATATCATCGCCTGTCGCAGAGTTGAGGATTTTGGCATTGCCTAGAGAAAGGGAACCATGAAATTAGCGACATAAATTCCTAAGGCTTCTCCTACAATTCTCAGAGATAAAAGAAATGGGGGATGTACCAATGTTCGACCTGTCGATATAGCACAAAAGATAAACGATGGCAGTAGTAGGAAGAAGGCGCTTATCGATCTTGCGTACGATCCTGTCCAAAATGTAGTGTCAGCCATCTGGAATATTCGGAGATCGTGGAAAGGTACCTTTTTTCCATATTGATCTCGTCTTGAGAGAATTCTGGAATGACCGTAGCCTCCGGCTTTCCATTTTCAACCATCTCGACACCAACTCCATGATCTCCAGCCATGTTGACTTTCTCTGTGCTATTCATAATACTAATGACTGGCAAGAAGATAAGGATCGAAGAAATTGATCACAAGTAAATGTTCGTACTTTCTCCCTTGTCTCCTGATCGGAGTAGATAATGTAGGCTTTAGACAAGTCTGTGGGAAGAAACCAGAACAATCCAGAGAATGTGGGTTAAAGATTTCCTGTGCCTTTCTTATGAAAGACTCTTGGCACTAAGTATCCCTTCCTCTTGACTCAATCTCTCGGTGTGGGTGGCTGTGGCAATGCTGTGGAGTCCCCATGGGGTCCATACGGACAAGAAATATGCATACTTACCACCAGGTATTGATGCGCCTGGCCGGTCCCACCAGTGGACGGAACGGAAATGGGACTGCGAATCTCTAATGGGATCGTGGGGCTTGGGTTGGGGACCCAGCCGGACTAGAGCAAGCATCCCCGGTAGCGTGTTGAGACTCGGCTATTGCCCCGATTTCCCTGGCACTATGGTACAACCCACTGCCCCAGTATAGACACAAGAAATGGCTAGACTAGTATGAGACTGCCGTTCCCGGGAAGCTCTTCAAGTGGTCTTGATTATTAGAATCTTTGAAGTTTTTCAGGCTTTAGAGAACCTCGAATTAATGGAAGTTTAGATCAACTCTGCTTCTAGACTGCTGCTTGAAGACAGGGACAAGCTGCTGTCATTGAATTGCAGGTTCGACATTGTGCCCCCTAAGCCACCATGGCTGAATACCCCCGATATCCCGACTTGAAAGACAAAATAGCCCTAGTCTTCGGGGTAGGTCAAGCCCAGACAAATCGCACAACACCAGAAACTTGGGGCAATGGTGCGGCTATTGCTTGGATGTTAGCCTACAACGGGGCTAAAATCTTCGGATGCGATATCGACCTGTCCGCTGCAGAATACACGGCATCACGCATACAACAAGCACATGAAGACGCTTCGTTTGATGTTTTCAAAGCCAATGTAACATCGGCACAGGATATACAACAAGCTGTAGATGTTTGCATGGCAAAGTATGGACGCATCGATATCCTTGTCAACAACGTCGGGGCAACAGCGGCGGGTGATCCAGCTTCTCTACCAGAAGCAGTGTGGGATGCACAGCTCAACGTAAACCTCAAAAGCGTATATCTCGGGATGAAAGCAGTATTACCCATAATGGAACGTCAAGGTTTCGGCACCGTCGTCAACAATGCCTCCATTGCGGGCATCCGCTTCCTTGGTAAACCACAAGTCGCTTACAACGCCGCTAAAGCGGCAGTTATCCACCTCACCAAGGTGACTGCTTGCATATATGCCCCGAAGAACATAAGATTGAACTGCGTTGCACCAGGTCTGATGTACGTGCCCTTAGTCGCACGACTTGAACATAGCGACGATCCTGGTGATAGAGACGCGTTCAAGAAGATAACCCAGCACAATGTTCCAATGGGTCGTATGGGAAGTGCATGGGATGTTGCAAGCGCTGCAGTATTCCTCGCTAGCAAGAAGGCAGCTGGATATGTGACTGGACAGGTGTTGGTCGTGGATGGCGGTCTGACAAGCTCGACAGGAACTGGATTCGAGTCGAAGCTATGAGTCTGAACCATTGTGTCATGAACCGACATAAAACCGTTTATCGTTAAGCAACGCCGTCACGATCTCAAACTCGCGTGCAACAATTGGACTGGCTGGCGCGCATTCTTCAAGAAAACTCAGAGCGAATTGCGTCCAGGACTCATATTGGGTAGGGACCAGACAGCTTATTTGCGACACGGATGACTGCTTGAACGCATGGAAGAGAAGGATTTGGCCAAAGAGTCTGACAGAGGCTAGTTGTTAGACACATTGCCATCGTATAGAAAGCAAAATTTAGACCAAGGAAGGGTAGTGTATTGACGTACTGTGTACAAATGAAGAATTTCAAGGGCAAACAGCTTCTCATTGTGATTGTAAGTCGCATAAGTGATGTCCAGTCCATGACACTGGAAAATGCATCGCGGCACTTTTCGTAGTCGCTGTCTGTCATGGTCTCGGGGTGGTGAAGTGCTCGGTGGCTGCTCAACGTGTCTCATTAGCAGCAGTTCAGAGTGGCATTCATGCGCGGGTTCAGGTGCCGGAAGAAAAGGGGCCCACATACAGCAAGGGACGCCGAAGGTGATACCGGAATATCAGATACCTCGCTCGCAGCCAAGGGATGACGAGAATATTCTCAGGTGTGTTTGGGAGGGGAACAAGGTCTGTGTTCTCCCATCTTAGACCGTCAGGAAGCTGCTGCCGCCATTGCTCAAGCTGATGTAGGAGCTCATCCTCGAGCGCTTGGGGTGGATAATCGCTCCGACCTATAGTCGATGTGAGCACCTCTGTGGACACGCGATCTCGTATTTTCCGACTTGCAAACATGCTGTCATACATGCGAGTTAGAATAATTCGATGTGCAATTTGTGACAGGAAATGGTAATGACAAAACGAGTCACGCTCCTGTTCACGCGTAACGGTTCCCAACGACAGGAGTGACGATATGCCGGGAAAGTCGACGAATTTTGGGAGAGGCACTCGATCTCCGTAGTCTTGTAGATTTGAAGTGGGAAGTTCAAGCTCCTGAGTGAGCACAGCTTCGAACATTGCTGTGATCCAGTATAGGCGAGATTGCATATCCATCAACCATTCGTTGCAGTCTTCCGGTGGACTGGGTAACTGTTAATACTATTCCAACGGCTGGTACTCAGTCGTTATCCGCCATCGACGTACCAAGACCAGAAGCTGATACAGCATAGACTTGCTCTATTCACCATTGTCCACCAATCTACGGGTCGGAGCAAAGTCGAGTAGTATAGACTATGTTATGATGTTAGCAGGGGTGTTATGCCGGACTTATGGTTTCAGCAGGCAGTACCCAGACAAGAGATAGAACTGACAGCCTTGGATGCTGTTATCACAGTTCACGAAGCCAATTCTCTTTCGAGCCTCGTTAAAGTATACCATGCTGTTCTCTGTAACCTGTCTAGCATCCTGCTGGTGCATGCCAGAGGTATCGCCAGCCATTGAAGTGAAGCCTGCTTCTTGGAGAGCTGTCTTTCCAAGCGAGCCTAGAGCCATCACCATAAGAACTAGACTGCTTTCGATATTGAAGCCAAATTCGCTATTGATAGCTACACCCATGGTATGTTGGCTGAAAAGCTGACGATCAACGATTGGATTCGTAAGGTTGAAAGTCGAGAAGTAATTATCGCACAGGTCTTTGACTAGAGAGACATGCAGCTGGGCTATCCAATTCACCGGAACGGCTGTCGATGTAATTGGAGGCGGAATTGCCGCTCGATTTTGGTCCAAAAGAGTGGCACGACTTGCGTTGTAACCACGACTCCAAGTATCTGTCGAAGCACTCTTGAGTAAGGCACGAACAGCTGGCCATGTTGCAATCTGCCTGATCGGATATTGAATGATAGGTATATGGGGAACAAGGACCACTGAGTTCGTGCTTTCAACAGTGCCTGCGGGACTTGCTGGGTTGTTGTCATTACAAATGGCTTGACCGGAGGTTTCATTTGACTCATAACTATTAGCTTCTGGAGAGAGAAGGTCACAGTTGATAGTGCTCGATCTTCGAACTCGTTTTGATGGCGATAGAGCTTTATTACTCCCTGAGTCTTGTTGTTCTTCTATCTTGTGCTCAATCCGTTGCAGGGCGTTGAAGATCATGCCAAGAGACACCTCATTTCTAGACACAGGTCCATCCTTTAGTGATAGAATTACATACAATTTCTGGGTAGGCTTACTTGGTGGCCTTGCGTTCACCAAACGTACAGTCTATACCTGCATTTCGACACGCGCCACAGGGATTACCGCCATCGCATCGTGTCTTTTTCAGACGACAGCTCTCGCATGCCTACACAATTACATTTAGACTAATCAAACAGCATGGTTTTTCAGCTGCAAAGACACACACACACCTGTCTGGCAATGAACAAACGCTGCTGTTTGGTTGGCCACGCCATTGTCGTTATCAGCGGGCTTTTCGCGTCGTCCCTTTTGCCATTGTGGGCTTTCATCAGATGGAAAGAACTTGGGGAAGGGAATGATAGGAGATGGACAAGATCCCCCGCTCTTGATGAGGGGGGATCTCTGTGGATCTCTTACGCATCTTTTCAATCTTGGTCCTTTCTCCGCGACTCCAGAATATGTACCAGCACTAATCTAGTGGCAGTGGATCTGGGGCAGGCCAATCATCCGAAGCCAAAGTTGGGGTTGAGGCATTGAGGTTGATCAAAGCAATAGAGATGCTGTGATTCGGTTTCAGAAGTCAACCTTGGTGCCACTCGGACATGCATTAGGTTCCATCCTTCGGTCGAGGGGGCTTCAGGCAGTCGTGGGAAAGCCTAGAGTGGAACTGGTGGTGCTCGTGGGTTAGTTAGTCGAGTCGTCCATGGTGGTGTCTAAAAGTACCATTAGGTTGTCAATGGTTCGGATTGCCGATTTCGGCTTTCCGCTGGGCGTTGTTCGCTAAATTCCTGGGCGGTACTGTACATTTCCACGGCTACACGGCAGACGCACAAGCTGCTCGTAGCACCGCATTCACACGGAGGTCGCATGTCAAACTGGGACGGGGTTTGCAAACATCTCTGTCGCCTTCATTAATCTCTATCAAGGAGTAAGTGTGTCTAAGTACTGAGGCTGACAGCTCTTTGAAACAGGTCTATGCTCTATTCATGGTCAGTCCTTCTGAATGATGCTAGTTGATACCGAAATCTAGACATCATGTTCGACTTCATCGACGGTGGGAACCTTGTTCAACTTGACACCGTAAAACCCCATGATCGTCTGGATCGTATCCCACAGGACCTTTGTGTCCTTGTTGGACACGCCGATTCTTCGGGTCCCCCGAATGTGCCACCAAGTCTCCGTTCGCAGGTTCTGAGCCATGATCGCGGGGAAGACAACCATCTCCGTATCCCAGTCATCGAGGGTCTGCCGGTCGCCAAGATACAAGCCGTATGTGATGTGCTTCGACACCCACGCGAAGTCCTTGTGCGAATCAAACAGCCCTATAGTGTCTGCTGCATTTCTTGTGTAGATCTTGCGGTACCACTCCATGGCCCTCTCGAGGTTTGCCTCGTCGCACTGCCAGTCCTCGCGTGTGGACGAGTAGTCTTTGTCTTCTGGTCGCTCGATGGCATTGATGGCCAGGATCGCCTCAATTGGTTTACAAACGCCGACAATAGAGATGGCCTTGATGAGGGCCTCGCGCAAGCGCATTACGAGGGCTTTTCGAGCATCGGGAGTGCTGTATTGAGGTTGGGCGCATAGGTAGAGATAGAGTTGCGCTGCTGCTTCGGGGTCTGGTCCAGCGACGATACAGGACACTGCTACCACATACCATCGCTCTGCTCCGATCTCCGTAGCGCTCACGTCTGCCTCAACTTTCTTGAATAGCTCGGAGAGCTTTGGGTCTAGAGTCGTCGCCGCCATGTTGTCTGTATTTGTCGTGTCGTTGTCTTTGAATTGCGACCCCATCACCGTCCCTCGGCCACTGCACTTTGCGTCGAAGGATCGGGACGGTGAGATCTGTGCCGCGCGCTGTGGCTTGTGGTGAGGAGGTGGCTTGTGAATCCACTAAATGACGAAACCTAACAAGAGAAGGATCCATCAAGATTTACATTTTGAGTGCTGACTACTTAACATCACCCAGTCGTTTTCTGTGCGGCACGATCAAGAACGCTCCTCCCTCATGTATGCATTATTTGCCCGCATCCCCAAGCCCCAAGTACAGTACTGCAGATCGCAGACGCTAAAGCTGCAGCAAGACCTTTACCGTCCCGTACGCTTAGCTGTCCCAGTGCTGCCGGACAGATGCTAGATTCCCCGGTTCGCTTGAGCAGTCAGAACCTTGGAACCCCGCATTCCCCCGGATATTACACCGTAAACCAGGGGTTTCGAAGCTCATATCCGATCCCCCAAGATCTTGCATCCCTGGCCTATTCCTCCACAGAGACCGGGGGTGGAGGAGCGGCTGGCTGTCACCCTCATACAATTTGGTGAATGTTAGGACAGAATGCCGACTTCAAGCCGGTGTGCCATGCTATCTCCCCCACGCTTTTCTGACACACATATCCGTGTGCTCTTCCCCGAACGCTTGGCCGACATCGGTTCACTACGTCAGAGTCGTTGCACGAGAGGTCTTACCAGGACGCCACAGCTCCACCCTTGAGTAACATAGGAGTATTTGATGATAATCCCCGCAATGGGATAGGCAGAGAGACAGTAAGTGTCTAGTTGAACTGGGCTTGACTATTCCCGCAGCTCCTCTCCCCCGAGATCACATGTGTCCCCGCAACTCCACACAACGATGGCTGTGGCAGCGCGGGGTTCTGTCGACTTGGCTGTTTCTTCATATACATGGGTGGTGGTTGGAGACACCCCAGTTAAGTTTGTTCAATATACCTGCCTAGAATCTTTGTAAAGAAATCCTTGGGCTCGACTGAATATCGTACACGTCTGCTCTCGCGATGACGGAATTCACCAATGGGACAACTAACGGCGTGGCTGAGGGGCTACCTCATGATGGTCGCATGGAGTCTGGTTCCGTGAATATACCCCCTGCCGAGTTCCCTGCAATGGCGTTTCCAGACTCCGTGGACGCGAAACAAGTTGCAAAGGACCTGGTGAAGGTTTTCAATGAACGCTTGTCAATAGGAGAGTATGGTGCTGTAGCCGGCCTGTTTTCCGAGAATGGCTACTGGCGCGATCATCTCGCCCTGTCTTGGGATCTTAGAACACTGAAGGGCCACAGCAAAATCGCAGACTTTTTAGTCACCAACGGTGGCAAGCTACAGAGCATCTCTCTAGACGACTCTACCCCTTGTCGGGTACCGAGTATCTCCCAGCTTGACGCCCACGGAAAGTCCAAATGCATCCTAGTCTTCCTCAAGGTTGACACCGATGTTGGCACCGGTCGGGGCATTGCCAGGATGATCTACGAGAACGGTGCTTGGAAGATCATTGCGTTGTATACCGCTCTCAGCGAGCTGAAGGGCTTCGAGGAACCATTAGGTCCTCGTAGACCTTTTGGAGCCAGCCATGGTGGTGGACGTGAGATGAAGAACTGGCTAGAGCAGCGAACTTCAGATGCAAACTTCGAAGAAAGTGAACCGGCTGTACTTATACTAGGTGAGTTGATCCATAAATATAGGAGAGATGCTCAGCGGTCCATCAATTGTGGTAGCTGATTGGCAAATCCGCAGGTGCCGGACAGGGTGGTCTCACATCGGCTGCTCGTCTCAAAATGCTCAACGTCCCAACTCTTGTTATCGACCGCGAGGATCGCGTGGGAGACAACTGGCGGCAACGCTATCGCCAGCTCGTGCTGCACGATCCCATCTGGTTCGACCACTTGCCGTACATGGAGTTCCCGGCGCACTGGCCCATCTTCACCCCGAAAGACAAGCTGGCCGACTTCTTCGAAGCGTACGTCAAGCTCCTAGAACTCAACGTGTGGACGAAAACACAGATCACGTCCTTGTCATGGGATACTTCCAAGAAACAGTGGGATGTCACGGTTGAGCGGCAGACTGGCGACGGCGTGGAGAAGAGAACTTTCCACCCGCGCCACATCATTCAGGCTACAGGACATTCGGGCAAGAAGAACATGCCTGCGATCAAAGGCGTGGATACCTTCAGAGGCCGCCTCTGCCACAGCTCGGAGCACCCAGGTGCGCAGCCGAACGCTAATGGAAGACGCGCCATCGTCGTTGGTTCATGCAACTCGGGCCATGATATTGCTCAAGACTTTTACGAGAATGGGTATGATGTGACTATAGTGCAGCGCACCTCTACATGCGTTGTCAGTTCGAAGGCCATTTCTGACATCGCTCTCGCCGGTCTATACTCCGAGGCTGCCCAAGCTCAGATTCCTGTCGATGACGCAGATCTTATACTCTGGAGCATCCCCACAGCCCTACACAAGGCGCTACAAGTGCAGGTCACTCAGCTATCCAACGAGCATGATCGAGATATTCTTGAAGGCTTGAAGAAGGCGGGCTTCGGGCTCGACATCGGTCCCGACGGTGCCGGGCTGTTCTATAAGTACTACCAGCGAGGAGGTGGATACTATATCGACGTCGGTGCAAGTCAACTTATCGTCGAGGGCAAGATCAAGGTCAAGTCCGGACAGGAGATCGTCGAAGTGACACCTGAGGGGATTGTCTTGGCGGACGGATCGCTGCTGCAAGCTGACGAGGTTGTCTTTGCCACAGGATATCAAAATATGAGGTCACAGACTCGAGTCTTGTTCGGGGACGAGATCGCGGACAAGTGCCGGGACGTATGGGGCTTCGATGAGGAGGGCGAGTTCAGGACAATGTGGCGCCAAAGCGGCCACCCGGGCTTTTGGTTCATGGGTGGCAACCTAGCCTTTTCGAGGTATTTCGGAAAGTTTCTCGCCCTTCAGATCAAGGCTTTGGAAGAGGGGCTGGCAACTTACTCGGCGAAGTAGCGCTGCCATCAATATGTTAGCAAACTGTGTAAGCTAGACCGAAGCTTTCGTTCAATCCGAACGAAATGTGCGTGTTAGATTTCTATAAACACGTTTTCCTAATGTCCAGAATTGTGAAAAAGTTGAGGCCCTGAACTGAGGCCTATCTTAGTGAAGATGCCACCACAACAGCTACTTACACTTATTGTCATAGCGCCTGTTGGGGATAGTGATCCAGGTTTCCAACAATTTGAAACTGAAAAGCCATTCAATTGGAACCAACGTAAACTTCGCATGGGCATGAAGTATCAGACGGGCTCTAGTGTTTGGTAAGGACTTGCACACTGGCGTTGAGCAAGTTTGCGCAAGTTGCCTGCGGCTAATGCGGGAGGCACGTCTCCGTCTGGACATTGTCTGTCACACCATAGCAAAAGAAGCCACACTAAAATGAATGACTTTGGCGAGATTCAGCTATGTTGGCTTACTTATGACACTGAAAGAAATCTGGTTTGGTTGCTGTTGCTTCAGCGACAGTTACATACAGGTCCGCACTGCGCAATGATCTTAAACAGCGCGAAACAGTGATGTCCAAAGCTTCTTATTTTCCACGGTAGAGACATTTTAGTTGAATAAGTTCCGCTTCTAACCCTTGCCGATGCGCTTCCATTTCATTTGTGCTACTCCGTGTCAGAAGAGCCAAGCGTATCTAGAATTGATGACATACAGGACAATTAGAGCAAGTACAGCTAGAGCCACAGTTGCAAGTTCCGGAGGATGAGCAGTCGCAGTTTCCCATTTTGATATTTTCAATTGAACGATAATGTAATGTATTGTTGTCGACTGGTCTGTGGATGGCTTCTTCTCTAGTAAAAAAAGCTAATGTTCTTTGAGGCGAAGGAGAGCAGACATGCCACATCGAGAGGGGGGACACCTGTATATTTATAACACCAGTACCACTTGTCTCATAGCCCAGAACCAATCAGCAAGACGAGAGATCAACAATGTGACGTTTGACACAAGAGGGGTGGGGCTGCAATAGGGGAGTGTTGGCATGAACCACAATATGGATCTGAGGTTACCCAATAGTCTAATCGCCTTCCTTTCTGGCACACAGTAGAGCCCAGCAAAAAATGACTTGATACTAAGACACAGTCACGTAAAACAATCCTCGAGCATGATTTATGCAATTGTCACGCTAAGCCTATTATTGGCGATCATCTACTATTGTATCAAGACATCTTAAGCCAGACATCTCTATCAATAACCAGATCAAGGATAATTACTTTCATAACTTGCATAAGACAGTCCAAGATAAATCAAAAGGGGTGGTTCTCTTTTTAGCGAATCAGCATTTTGCAGACTTCTCTGACTGAGAACGAGGTTACTAGTGATGCCATAGATGTGCAGACGACAGGACTTTGAATCTCAAGAACTCAGTATGACGAGTTGACAATTGCACCGAAAATATCGAACCATTTTCCGAAATCACTTTATTCTGTTCAGGTTCTACGAACGTTCTATCCTCTAATCTAGACTCTATCATGATTGAGAGTCATCCAGTTACGCTTCAGCGGTAAGATCCTTTCCGAAGGTGACAAAGTATAAGTCGTCCCTCAAAACCCCCTGCCAATCCTTATGGTGATCATACGGAAATGGCGTCGTCTTTCCTGTAGGCGTATACCCACGATTCGTGTACCACGCAATTAGCTCAGCGCGCGTGCACACGACATCGAACTCCATCCTCTTATCGCCAAGCTCACGGCGAGCGTAGTTCTCAGCGTGTTTGAGTACCTGACTGCCCAGACCACGGTTCTTGGAATGAACATTCACGGCCAGCAAGCCGAGCCATCCGACATTGTCCGGGAGTTGGCGCACGGAACAGTGGCCGACAATGTCGCCGGTTGAATCTGTCGCGACAAAGACTTTGCGGTCAGGCTGGGCAATCCCAGCCTTCATTGTTGCCGTGTCGGCAACGTCGACGCGGGCGTGATCGGCGTCTAGAAACACCTGCGTGGTGTTGTCGTCGCGAAAGGCCTCATTGATAAGAGTCACAATCTTGTCGACATCGTCTACTTTTGCCAGGCGGAAGTTAAGGTTGCTGGTGGTGGTCATTTTGACTGCTTTTGATGCGTGGGACTACTTGCGATGTTCAGTGGGATGTCAACGTCAAGACGCGCAACCCTTGTCCCAGACTTCTGGGTCTTGCTGCCTTTATATTCCGTCTGCTTTGTCTACTCAGCATCTGTAAATCCGAAGCAATTGATTGTATCACGGAGGGCGCGCGCAATTGACGGGATGTCGGTGACGGGATACCGGTATGTCTTTGAAGAGCGTGACTTTGTCTAACGTTCGTGGGAAGGTCGTTAAGCTAAAAATAGGCATTAATGAGAATTGAGGCAACCGTTATAGCTCAGAGAATTTTACGCCCTAACTTTGACTTGCTAGGGCGCTTGGGCTAAACTGAATGGTAGAACATTACAGGGTTCTCGCAATCCTCAAAATAAAAACGATACTGATTAAACGCACTACTCTATCTCCTTGTCTAATTTATTAGATTGAGACACAATTAATTCCAACCTCATCGCTGTCAAAAGCATTATGTCTCTATCTGAAAAAAGCGCGGGAACCATTCTTATTAGGGCTGTGGCGTTCACGACCCATATCAAGAATTGGGCAACAATTATCACCTCTGACACTCTTGGCTTCGTTTTCTAGGGCGAAACCCATGATGGCGCTGTGTAGGAGCGGAAAGTTGATCTTTTCTCCATCTTTGGGCACGAAATACTGTTGATGAAGAAGTTCATCGATATTATTCACGAGTCCCAGCGTCCAATTCTTGATGCTAGGAACAAGATCGCAATAAGTCACGTCAAATGGAAGACGCTTTGCCACGAGAGCTCTCTGAACCAGGTGCCGAGCAGCGTGGGAAAGATGAAAGATTTTCACCATTCCAACTATATGTGCCACTCTCTCTATGCCCACAAAGTTGGGGTATATCTCGAACTTAGCAGTGCCCTCAGTTTTCAGTTGCTTGCCTCCGATCTTCCGCTCCATCAACTGGGGGCGTTCGTTTAATGAAATACGGTAGACTGTACCGAGCCCCTCACGAAAGTGGATATATAAATCGTAGAAAAAGCCATCTAAATTGTCGTCCAGGCAGCCTTGGTCATCAATTGTATCATGGGTTCCCTGCGCATGGGACTTTCGCAACCAATCTGCCTTCCCTTTCTCGAGCTTGCCAACCACTACGTACAAGCAGCATGGCTCGAGTTGATTGTCCGTAATCATGTGGTGCTGGTTGCGAAAGTCGCGAGAGGCTGAGAAACGATCTATTTAGATTGGAGGATTGCAAAAGACTTGGCTTTCAGGATAGAGGCAGAGGTCTCTGTCGTAAGCTACTAGCTAGTAAGAGGATAGTGTAGTATACAAAGATGCAGGTGTAACCATCTTCATTTAACCTTTACTGCTGAGGTGCGAAATCAATTTATAGTTGATCTGCAAGGCAAAAGCCATGCTGAAAATACTGCCAACAAATGAGATTCGTCACGTAAGTGAATTGTGACGTGAAGAGGTGGCTCAATAGCACTTTTTGGACAACTGTATTATGCCGCTGTCATTCATCAATTGGCCAGCAACGGTGTTTGGGGATGGGCATTTTTCATCTTCCTTCGAATCGGACACGCCACTTATAATACATGGGCTGGAAATAGAGATGGAAGAAACATGCGGGTCTGCTGAGGCGTTCGATTAAATCATTTCCGCGAAAATAAGATTCTCTATCTAACTGATTGATACTTTGAAGAGCTTGCAGAGTCTCGGCTCTGCATGCATGGGAGTTAGAGAATCACCGATTTCCACTCATTCAACTTGACGCTAATTGTTTCTCAATTCTCTGCAATAAGCATAACAACTAACTGTTCAGCTCTATCACTGTATGTGGTCTTAGATGAACTCTATGGATGGTGTTCTAGACAGAGCTACGATCTCCATCGCGGGTAGCACCCAAGCTCGCGTCCACAGGTTCAGGAGGGGTCGAGGCTTTTCAGCTCTCAAAGCACTCTCCAAATTGAGTCGCGAGAACTGAAGCACTTCTTGACGAACGTCGTCAATATCAATCGTCTTGCCCTCTCCCTCCTCGCCAGGAATGTGACAGTATGACCGAACCTCCCTTTCGACAAGCTCTAGCATCTTGAAGCACCACTCAACTGGGGACTCCACTCTATGGGAAAGTCTTGCATCGACGATGATCTTGTCTAATGGAACAATCATGCCCTTTGAAAAGTCCATCACGCGGACTAAGCAAACATGATGGTCTAAGTTAGTAATGTTTTGGATATTACGGATCGTATCTGCTCCAAATCCGGATTCGGATTGTCCCTTTTGAGCAGGATAACGGTAAAGAGTACTAGTTGTGTGAACATCACTTGTCTGCTCGGGATTGTGGATGTATAGGTCGCAATAGAGAACGTCCTCCAGATTGTCTTGTAAACGATCTCGGATTACTGCCTGAGAGGCCGAATTTCCTTCAGCACTCCTGTATTGTAGCGCTTGTTGCGCTCGAATGGTGACTGCAATATACAGAGAACCTGGTTGAAGATTTGTGGCCCTCTCACGTTCAGGCAGAGCATGAGTCTGGGTAGCCAGCATGGCGAATCTGCGCTTTACGGTATTCACGATAATTTGATTTGGACCTGCCGAGCTTAGATTACATAGAACCTGTCCAGCAGAAGACATCGGCATTTATATACGTGCTCTAAAATGTTTGTGTTTGGCTCGTTATGACTAAGTCTGGTGAATAGTGTAGATTTTATTCAATGTTGTGTTACTGGAAGTAGGAGTCATCGCGATAAACAAGTCACCAGGGAGTCGCAAGAGGCTATCATGATGTTTATAGATTTTAGAAAGACACAATTTCTGTCACGGATTAGTGAAAATAATTCCCGTGAATACAAACGTTTTTGGTGCCCTGATGAGTGCTCGAGAGACTCTATGCATGCTCCCAACCTCGTCACTTCATTGTGGCCTGGCAAATGCGTGGTAGAAGCCATCCAGATTCGTGATGGAGTTGAGTTGAGCTTTGGAATAGTTAGGTAGCTATGGAAAGCGTGGTCTCTGAGTGTCCTCGTTCTCGGGCATCGGGAGATTTCAGTCCGATTATCGATTAACATCCTGCAGGTGGTTTGACGCCACCAGGTCCCTATTCCCTAATTATGCTACCTAGGCTCTCAAATTCGACGCCATGGAAATCTTCTGGAATGCGCACCAACTGCACCGATTCTTTGACCCGAGCTAAGCACCCAGTAATCGCAGACGATCACGTTATGGGCTTCCTACACCCGCGCAAAGTCTCGACTTGGCCAAGAGTCCAAGACAGCCGCGGCCCCGAGATCCGACAAGCGACGTGCTGCTAAGCCAGGAGCTCCACGCGACAGTCTCCGCACTTGCGTCACGGCCTGATTTTCGGCGGTTCCGCCGGGGTAACGTTAGCGGCACAAGACCTAAAGCACCTTACTGCTTAGCTAGCTAGCTGTTCGAAGGATAGCGACGGCTGTCACATCATTCTGTGTCTGCAGACGAGCAAGATCTTCTGTGCTCTCGTGTTTCCTCTCCTCTCTTCGTACGCAGAGAGATATAACGTCGCGACGACTTCAAGAATACCAGTGAGTCAGGGATCAACACAGACGAGCTTTGGCGCAAGCATTTACAGTAAAACAACACTCCACATTGCGATCGATCTCCTGGTGCGGGGCAAGCAGTCAACTGTCGATTGTGGGGGAGCAAGTGTTAGTCTAGGCTTCACAAGCCCTGAAGCGATCTCCAAGATCCTCTGTTCGAGCATAGATATAGAGCCCAAGGGGCAGGCAATCCTGGGAATAAGAGCGCACCGGCGGTCGCAGAAGCTACCGACACAACCTGCACGTCATGGCCGGACCAGTGCCTTTCGCGACAGCGCTCGACCAGATCTACACGGAAGATGCGCTGCCAGCCCAGACAAAGCGATGGGAGAACCTCCTGTCCAAGTTCGAGGGCCGCTTCGGACACGCCGCCGACTTCGTTGCGCGGTCGCCTGGCCGAGTGAACATCATCGGCGAGCACATTGACTACTCGCTGTACTCGGTGCTGCCCATGGCCATCACGGCCGACGTCATCATCGCCGTGTCCACCGACCTGACCCCAAGCAGTGCCGACACCTATAAGATCCAGATTGCGAACGTGCAGGACCAGAAATTCCCTGCGCACGAATTCGATATTCCGTACAACGCAGTCGAGATCGACTCGAGCATACACGAGTGGACAAACTACTTCAAATCAGGCTTGAGGGGCGCGCTCGAGCTGTTGCGCAAGAAGCATGGCGCCGACTTCAAGCCCAAGAGCATGCAGATTCTGATGGACGGCACAGTGCCGGCTGGAGGTGGTCTCAGTTCCAGCGCTGCGTTCACGAGCACCAGCGCTCTAGCTGTCATGATTGCGAACGGCGAGGAGACGGTGGACAAGACTGAGTTGACTGAGCTAGCTATTGTTAGTGAGAGAGCCGTGGGTGTCAACTCTGGAGGGTAAGTATTTGTTGAAAGTTATGGCAAGAAGGATCGCTAATACGCCACAGAATGGATCAGTCAGCCTCAGTGTTCTCCGAGCGAGGTTCTGCCCTCTTCGTCTCTTTCACACCGAAGCTCTATGCCAGGCCAGTCTTCTTCCCCAAGACAAACCCGGAGCTTTGCTTCCTGATTGCCCAGTCCTTCGTCGTCGCGGACAAGCAAGTCACGGCTCCCGTCCAGTACAATTTGCGAGTAGTTGAGTGCAGTCTAGCGGCCGCCTACCTGAATGCCGTCCTCAACCCGCCAGGCACCATCCTACCAGCTGATCCTGGCCCGCTGGGATTCAGTCTTCACGGTTTCCACGAGGTCTACTTCGCCCTTCAGGAGCACCAGGGTGCCAAGGCCCTCGCTATCCAGGATCAGCTCAAGGCTCTCCTCGAGCTGACCACATCCACATTCACTAAGAAGGAGGGCTACACCCGTGAGGAGATCGCCGCCGTGCTGGGCATCTCGACAGACGAGCTGCACGCTCAGTTCACCTCGCGTGTCCCCGTGCGCGCCGAGCGTTTCAAGCTGCAGCAGCGCGCGTACCACGTCTTCGCCGAGGCGCTGCGCGTGCTGCAATTCATGGACCTGCTCGAGGACCCGGCGCAGCGGCCCGCGGAGGACGGCACCGACACAACAGAGTACAACAAGAAGCTGGGCGCGCTGCTCAACGAGACGCAGGACTCGTGCTGCGAGCTGTACGAGAACAGCTGCAAGGAGATTGACACTCTGTGCGAGATTGCGCGCCGGGTGGGTAGTTACGGTAGCCGCGTGACCGGCGCGGGCTGGGGAGGCTGCAGCGTACATTTGGTCCCGGCGGATAAGGTCGAAGCGGTGAGGGAGGCTTGGGAGAAGGAGTACTACTCGAAGCTCGATCTTACAGAGGAACAGAGGGCTGGTGCAGTGGTCCAGACGTTACCGGGAAGTGGTAGCGCAGTGTATAGAGGAGGGAAGCTCAGAGTGGCTTAATCTGAGTCGAATGGTTAGGGGTCAACGGCAACTCTGTACATGCTCTAATCACAAGCAAGTAGATGTGTTTGCTCGTATCGACCAAAAAGGGGTTCATCGTCACCCGTCTTGAATATTCATTGGCTAATTTCATGACAACGCCGGCCATGCCGTTTGAAGAGATGTTCTACCATCTATACATATAATACATGCCATTTTCTCGTGGCTGTCCTGAATCGCTAAACAGGGAACCGAATGGTACCGTTAATCTTGTACTCGGTTATCATCATGATGGAGCGGCAGTTCCGCCCTGTCCGCCTCTGCGTCTCTCGACATTCTTGACATGCCTGTGCTTGCGAACCTCCACTCGTCTGTATTTGGTGTACAAATTGAGAGCATCCTTCAGCACGACAAACAGGCATCCGCCCACGAGACTTCGACCCCAGCGCTCCTGAAGCAAGCCGTTTGGCGATCGTCTGGCGCCACTTTCAACAGCACGAGTGACCCAGCCACGAGGCAAGCCCAGTCGCAACAGCTCGCCGACGCCAAAAGAGATGGCAGGGAAGAGAAGCGCGGTAACAGTACCGTTGACGATATCAGTCAAGGTAGTATTCGGCCGGTTCTCCTCGGCGGGTGGATCTTGAGCTGGTTCATCTTGAGCAGCTGGTCGATCCTCGTTGCGTTGTATTCGAATGACTGGTGCCGGAGCTGCATCATCCCCCTCCTCTTCTTGATGCTGTGCTACGTGTTCGGCTTGCTCATTAGCTGCCTCTTCTAGAGCTTCCTCGATCATGACAATGGCCTCTGGGTCATCCTCTATCATTTCTTGCAGCTCCTCTGCTAGCTGCTCTTCCTCGTGCGCCCCAAGCCTCACCTCTGCCTCGAGCACAACTTCATCTTCACCACCAAACAGGTTTAATACAGCATTCCCGAGCCTAAAGAGAGCTGCGCCAACCCCTTCTTCTTCATCATCGGGCAGTCTCTCTGCTGGCTCGCCTGCTTGTGGTTGGGGCGCCGCTGGCGGCTCCTCGGCAACCTGGGTTCTGCCTCTGAGCGCGCGGTTGAGACGCTTTTCGAATGTGCCGAAGAACTCGTAATAGACACTCGAATATGTCAAGCTGACATAAGGCATCAATGTGATCGCCCAAGCCGGTGACGGTGGCCAGGTAGGCATCTCATCACGCGCAACAAGTGTAGCTCCATACTAGTAGAGAATTAGTAACCGCGATATAGGACTAGTGTAGGTGAGTCGACTTACCAAGAAGGAGGCTGGGACGAAGAACAGACTACCCAGCGAAGGAAGAGCTTTGTTAAGCATCAAAGCCGGCGCAATGAAGTGCAGTAACCAGAACTTGAAGCCGACCTCCCAGCCAGTCCGCCATCTCCACCACGGAATGCGGATCCAGTGCCGCTCCATGATCGCTCGTCCCAGTCCAAGCCAGCGCATGGCAGAGTCCGGTCCAGCAAACACCGATGCCGCCATCAGCCCATACCAACTCGATCCAGCCATGCCGCATGTTGCAACGATGGAGAGCAGAACGGCGGGCGTAGTCCTGCTATACGCCCTGTGTAATCTTTCGCGGAAGCGCACAAAGGGGTCGTACGGTTCGATAACCTTGATACGGGCATTGCAAGCTGGACAGCGCAAGCCTTTGGCGCGATTGCTGGACGCCTCGGTCTCAGACACCCATCGCAATAGACAGTCCTCGTGCGCTTCGAGAGTACAGGGACAGGGGTTCACCCAGGTGGCATCGGGAGTCTCCGCGGATGTCTGAAGGCAGATGAAGCAGTTACGGAGATTTGGATCGGTCTGTTGTCGTTGAAGGCGGGGGACAGATGCTGCATCATCGTTTGACGGAGCAGTGGGCTCTGAGGAGGGAGATTCGTTGGACAAGAGGAGGTTGTCTCTATTGATCGTAGGATTGCCCGTCGGCGGAGGCTCATCTTGTTGAGATGCCATCTTCGCGATAGAAGCTTGCGCCTGCCGCGAGGTGGGGGAGCTTCGTAGTGGAGGAGGTAAACGCGCACCGGAGGTAGGGTAAGACGACAACGCAGCAATGAGGCAAAGCCTCGTCTGTGCAGTGGGACTTCTTGCAATGACCCAAGACGATAAAGTGACCGTTCAGGATCTGAACTCGAGGTGATATCACAAATTAATCATGCAGTATATTTGAGTGTGTCTGGGTCAAGGAAGCAGCCAGCTCCGAGGTGCTGGTAATCCGAGGCTACTTACCTAGAGTACTTTGGGTGACATCAGTTTCGGCACTGTTGAGGTTGAGCCACAGCATCAATCCAGCTCCGGGACCTCCGATTGTGGCTTGACGTGGCTAGTGGGCGGTGATTCTGGACCCCTCTATTGACTTCTCCGACTCACTGGCGTCGCATGTGCGTTGCCTTCAGGTCCAAATTCAACAACTAATTAGCACCCCCACGACGGACTCATCGACGGTCTTGCATTCCCTCTACTCTCCTCAACCCTCACTATCTGCAAGTCACAGTGTCACTCTGCCTCGAATAACCTCATTAGCATGGTAGGTTTGATATATACTAGAGCAATGTCACTGGTCAAGGCCATAGCGGGGATCTCCCGAGTCGCTGACCGTCCTACAGGCCACGACATCAAAGCAGCGCCTTGCGCTGGCAATCTGTGATTTCCTGTCGACGTCTGTCACTGACGGCACCCTCCCAGCCGACGACCAAGATTCGATCGATGTCGCTATCAACTGCATCGCCGAGTCCTTCAAGATCGACCCATCCGACAAGGCTGCTGTCTCAGAAGCCATCGGCGACCAGAACCTACTGAAGATCTACGGCGTCTACGAAAAGTTGAAGTCTGCCTCCAAGCCAGCTCCTGCTTCCTCATCCAGTGCCGGTACCTCAGCTGCACCAGCAGCTGTCTCGGATCAGCAGAAAAAGGAGGCTGAGGCCCTGAAATCCAAGGGCAATGCTGCTATGGCTCAGAAAGACTACCCCCAGGCAATCGACCTCTACACTCAGGCGCTAGCGCTTTACCCTGGTAATGCTATTTTCCTCTCGAACCGAGCTGCTGCATACAGCGCTGCGAAGGACCACGAGAGTGCCCGCGCCGATGCCGAGGCTGCAGTGGCTATCGATCCCAAGTATACCAAGGCTTGGAGCAGACTAGGTCTAGCCAAGTTCGCGCTCGGAGACGCAAAGGGTTCTATGGAGGCTTACAAGAAGGGCATTGAGTACGAGGGCAATGGCGGTAGTGATGCAATGAAGAAGGGCTTTGAGACAGCCAAGCGCCGGGTGGAGGAGATTGAGGCAGAGGAGGCAGATGCTCCCGATGCTGCCAGAGGTGGTGCTGCTTCACCGAGCCTGAACGACCTCGCCGGTATGTTTGGTGGTGGAGGTGCTGGCGGAGGCGGCGGCGGCATGCCCGATCTCTCATCCATCATGAGCAACCCGATGTTTGCATCTATGGCGCAGAATCTCATGAGCAATCCCGACATGATGTCGAATCTCATGAGCAACCCCCGGCTACGCGACATGGCCAATCAGTTCGGCAGCGGTGGAGGAATGCCCGATATGTCAGCATTGATGTCCGATCCAAACATTGCTGAGATGTAGGTGTTTCTGCACAGATCCTGACATCTACATGTACTGACAACTCACAGGGCTCGTTCATTGATGGGCGGCGGTGCTGGTCGGGGCGCAGGAGCTCCCCCTCAATAGTTGATATAGAAAGAATTTCTCCTGACTAAGGTTTTACTCGGACCCAACTGCATGGATACACACAGTCACCTTTAATATACCCTATTTGGTATCCTTAGATTGCCTGCTCTCGTCCATGACAGATATGTTTAAAAAGGGCCACAGATCATTTGAAAAGGAGAGACTGGCTACAGTCCAATCCCTGAGCTATGAGTGGCGAACGAAAACATCGTCTCATCATAATTACCTATCTGCCCAAGTATGTTCATAGCAGAGCATGTATTATGTTTCAATCGGAACTTGAAGACCCGATACGGTAGAGTCATCAATGGGCCTGGTAACTTTGTACCAGAAAACACTACCTACAGCTCGTATGACTGGAAATTACATCCGGTTTCCTTACTCCAGAACGATGTCATGTTGCCGGATAATCCAATTAAGAAGCTCTGTTTCATTGTCACCCGTTTTCTGCTCCTCTTATAAGCAGATCCCTCTCTCAAATGCGACACTACAGTGTACCCCACACAGTTTCTTATACCGTTCCTGATATACTATTCTCGCTCTGAACAGTATTGCTTGTGCTATATTGCTTACGTCGTGTCATGTTAGTGCCGTCTTCTCGGGGCTTTATAGTCTGAGAAGTCTTCTGCTTGCGATATTCGCAGTACATGCTTACAAAATTTGTTGATTACTTTGGGTTTGAAGGAAAAGAAGAGGTTCATTAAAGTGGAACCGTCTGAGTATTTTGGCGGTAGAAGCTAACAGAGAATTCAGGCTTAATAGAGCTGGATATAGTTCGCTCTTCACATACGGAAGCCGGTTATTGCAGCATGTGAATTCAAGTGTCTGACCCCAGATTATCGTTGCAATGGGGATGGAGAGGGGCAAGCCGAGGGAGCCGTATTCGGGTCTGTTAGATGACCTTAAAAGGACTACGAGTTGCGCTGATCGACAAATGGATGTGCCATGGAGCAATTGCCTGTGTGCCGGACTCCAAGCGAATGTAACTTCCGACATTCCCTCCCACCGATCGCCAGATCTACCAAGATGGCAGTTGGAAATGTTATGCTTTAGCCCGACGTCCTCATTAAGCCACCATTGTAGAAAGATTCTTTCCAACAGGCTTGATCATAGCTTACTATTCCCATTATTCTTCTCAATGACTCGTTCCTGTCTTTAGAAAGACTTTTCAGGTATCGCTGCTCAGGTGATTCTAGAAGAGTCTGATGAGCGCATATAAGCTATGTTGGGCAGACGGCAGTTGTTGCTGCAGGACCAGCTGTCAAACCTGCTGCCAAGGTGCTCTGACCATGGCATCGCCTCTTAGCTGGCGCCACCAACGGGTTTCCGAATGCACCTTGTGATTGGCGTGTTGCAGTCGTCAAATTAGCGTCCGGTTGCAGCATCGGTGTCTCTCCTATTTGGGATACTACTTCGCCATTTCACATGGCCTTATCTCGTCTAACTCGTGTTCCACCGCATCAATGCCTCGGGAGCCCACTGCAACATGCGGGGATGTAAGGCAGCGGCCCGCTCTATACGAGTGAACAGGACAGGTACAGTCGATATTGGTCTTGTATAAGTTTCAGCCCTGTGCTACCAATGTAGTCTTCAGTATACCTCAACAGGTCCCAGTTTCCCGGTTGAAAGAGGACGTGACCTCATCGCAGTGTACTTGTACATCTGCGTGTCAAAATGCGTCTCTTAACTATCTTTCCCATTCTAACGCTTTTATTCATTGCCAACTTCAAGGGAGCTCTCGCAGAATCTATCACATGTAGTCAAATCTCTTCTTCCACCAACATCGAGATACTTAGACCCTTAGAGATCCTCTACACCCAAGAGCAGAGCAAATACTGGTCAGTAAGATGCTTCAAGAGATGTAGACAAACATAGTTCTTATGATATGTAGGTCATTGAGTTGTACACACTTAAAGCCAGGATGTATACTCGTGCCTTCGAATGCTGAGGAGCTCTCTGAAATTTTCAAGATCCTCCAAACAAATAATGAGACATTTGCGGTCAAATCTGGCGGTCACAACCCCAATAACTACTTTGCCAGTGTCCAGGGTGGACCTTTGATCTCCACAAGTGGACTGACCGAAGTTATATTTGACGAAGGGACCAACACTGTTGCTGTTGGGCCGGGAAATCGATGGGAAGATGTGCACACTGCTCTAGATGGCACTGGCGTCACTGTTGTCGGGGGCCGCATTGGCAACGTCGGAGTGGGAGGTTACTTAGTCGGAGGTATGATAACTATCCGCTTCCTTACAAGCCCGATTGGCTCACGAAATCAAGGCGGATTGAGCTTCCTGAGTACCCAATATGGCTGGGCTGCCAATAGCATTGTTGAAGCTGAGATGGTGCTACCAAACGGAACGATCGTCACTGCTTCAGCGACGTCGAATCCTGATATACTAGCAGTCATCAAAGGAGGAGGCAGTGCATTCGGGATCGTAACTCGCTATGTGTTGCAAGCATACCCTATAGGACAAGTATGTCTACATACCACTTTGCGGCATAATTCTAACCGGAAGACAGGTATGGGGTGGAAATCTGGTCTTCAGCGGTGACAAGACTGACCAGATCCTTGCGGCTGTTCGAAATTTTACTGAAAATTATGATGACCCAAAAGCTGGGATCATTGCTACCGCAGAATTGACAGTCCTCAATTTGCTCGATATCTGGATACTGTTCCTCTTCTATGACGGATCGTCACCACCAGCCGGAGTATTCGATGAATTCCTAGCTATTGGTCCTGGTGTCAACAACTGCGAAACACGGTCTTATGCTGACCTCTTAAAGTTCAACGACTGGGCCGTATTACACGGTGTTGTATACACTATTGCAACCGAAACAACGCCACTGCCCTCCGTCGCAGATGGCGCTAGAGTCATGGGAACATACTACGATCATTGGTATACCACCTCTGCCGCAAGAGCGGGTGTTCCAGGAATTATCGCTTCGATGGCTTTACAGCCGATTCCAAAGAACATGACGCGAATCGCAAAGGAGAAAGGCGGAGATTTATACGACCTGGATGACAGCACTGACCGAATCATTTTCGAATTTGACTACTCCTATTTCTCTCAGCTTGACGATAGTACTGTTGACACAACCATGGTTGAGCTATACTCTGGGATGAAAGACTTGGTTGACGGCTTCGTAGCAGAAGGAACTCTCCCGGATGCATATCGACCGCTCTTCATGAACGATGCATATTTTAGAGAGGATTATTGGGGGAGACTGAGGCCAGGGACGAAGGAATTTGCTGAAAGTGTGCGTGATTCATTAGATCCAGGTGGGCTTTTTCAAACCAGAACTGGAGGCTTCAAGTTATAGCGGTTTTTATCGAAACACTCGGATCTTTTTAAATTTAAGGATTGATTTTTTTCTCACTCTGTGTATGCGTTACAAGATAACACTTCATCTGAAGTGACATATCCCGTCTAGTCGTGTTGAGTCGTGCTGTCTAGTGTAGAATCTATACAATGTCATGAAGAATGCTAAAGGACTCGCAAGCAGTGACTTGGATAGAGTTCCCGGGGGCAAGTACGCTTCATTTCAAAGTTCGCAGCCTCCATCGTGAAAATTAACAAACTTGTCCACACGCAGGGCTTGGGCAGAAACAGGAAGGTGGGCTGTTTTGACTCGGAGCCGACTCGGCGGTAACTGAGCACGTCACTAATCAATCAGGACTTCTCCGCCGAGATCAAACTGATATCATTGTATTGCCATCCGCATTTCATCAACAAACTTCATCTAAAAGTAGAACGTCCACCTAGTCACAGCAGAAGATGAGTGACGCTGAGCGGACTGATCGTGAAGTGACGGATTATAAAGTCTGGCGTTACCAGAAAGATTTGCCAGGTGACAAGGAGAATCTTCAGAAAGCATGGCGACTGCTCGAATCTTACAGCGGCGTTCCACAAAGTCAAATCGAAGAACATGTTCGTGAGGTTGTGAGTTCTCTGACCTCTCCTTCCGGGTTATGCAGCACTTAGTTGAAATAGCTTGCTGACTTCAATCAAACCGAAGCGCGAGAAAGCTTACGCGGTCTTCCCTTATGCTTGCATTGGTCGCTGGAGATTCCTTGACCTTTACTTAACAGCGACCCCATACTATTCGGAGGTGCTTGAACGTTTAGGCAATGGTGACATCTTTTTGGATGCGGGATGCTGTTTCGGTCAAGTTTTACGCCAGTTAGCATTCGATGGAGCCCCTTCTAATAACCTCAGAGGTGCCGATTTAAGGCAGGAGTTCATTGATCTAGGCTATGAACTGTTCCGGGATCGCGACAATTTTGAAGGCCAGTTTTTCACCGGCAATATGTTGGACACATCAGACACCGCTCTCGATGCGCTCAATGGAACCGTCGATATCATACATGCAGCTAGTTTCTTTCATCTGTTCGGGTGGGATGATCAAGTCAAGCTCGGAGAACGAGTGGTGAAGTTCTTCAAGCCTGATGCCAGAAAGGCGGTATTACTAGGAAGACAAGTCGGCAACCCTCAGCCAAAAGACCATGCGGAACACACAGAGCTTGGTCTAGGTCGATATCATCATAACCCAGAGACTTTTCAGAAGTTATGGGATGTGATCGGAGAAAGAACTAACACCAAGTGGAAAGTCGAGGGGGAGATCATAGATCTGATCCCGGATTCCGATGTCCCAAGGATTGGCTTACGCTTTTACGTACACAAGCAGTGACATTGAGGGAACTGAATGATATCTCTGAGCTGTGAGAACACTTAATGCATCATCCAATTCTTAAAGTACCAAGTGCGCTAGTCTTCTTAAGATATCCTTATGAGTCTGTTTTGTTTCTGATTGAACGATGATCGCCTGACGGGTGTGTGTTACAGCGTATACACAAAATCTGGACGCTTATCACCGCGAATCCATCTCTGCTCATCAGTCATGGCTGCCCAGTCGTTGTCTAGCTTTCCATCCCTGCGCCTTTTATTCTCCCAGAGGAGGGCAAAATGCATGAATATTGAACCTCCCAGCAAAAACAG